TGAAAGCCCTCGTGGCCCCCAGTCCCCCAGCCAGTACGTCCCAGGAAAAACAAGGAGTAAAAACCCAAAAAGCAACTGGATATTTGTTGTGAATCTACATGCAAATAGGGGGTTTTTTCCCCCCATTTTGTTTCATTTCAGTACCAAACTCTCAAATCTGAGCCATTTCCATGTCATATTGTCACGTCATTCTAAAAGTTGTTTCATCCCAAAAAATTGGTCCACAGAAGACTTTTGATTGGCTCAAGCCCACCAGTGAACGTCCCACTAGATTTTGGGCATGGGACTAGAACACGAGAATAGGATCAGCAGGACCCATAGGTGCCTCGCTACACCAGCTGCCCATCCTCCTGCCCATCCTCCATGTTTGGGCAGGATGGGGGAACACTGCACCCTGTGGGTCTAGCTGCAGCTCCGGCGAAGTGGCAGATGCCAGAACCTGAGTTGCAGCGACTCCTCGCTGTTCCCAGGCAGCTGGCGTTGCTAAGGATACCGGGCCTATGCTGCATTAGCTGCAAGCTCCAACCGATGGCCCAGCTGGGGGGCTCAGACAGCCCAGCCTGCTGGGGGGAAGCGGGGATGACTGGATGCAGGTTGGGTGTGTGTAGGCATCCATGCATGTACCTGCACAGGGGTTGTGTGTGCCTGGGTGTTTGGGTGCCCATGTACAGGGGCATGCGGATGAGGCCAAGAGGGACAAGTGTCTCGTGGTGCTAATATTGGAGCCTTGAATAATGGAACCCAATGCAGATTGTATCTTTGGCTCATTCCTTAAAGCGCTCCCATCAGGGTCAAACTCAGCTTGTCACGCGCTGGCTTAGTCTTGGCGCTACTGCCTGGAAACGGAGTGACTCCGGTGCGGGCCACTGCGCTACTGCCTGGAAACGGAGTGACTCTGGTGTGGGCCACCGCGCTGTCACAGCAGTTCTCCTGCAACACTTGGGGACTTTTAGAACAGGGGTGAGGAACAAATGCTCGGGGGCCAGGTCCGGCCCCTGGCTTGCCTGGGTCTGGCCCCAAGGCTCAGGGCTTCCCACCCAGCATTGAGGAGCCAGGCTGGTTCTCCAGCCCTGCAGCCCCCCTCCCACCCAGCCCTGCCACCCCGAGCCTGCTCCTGCACCCTACCACCCTCCTCAACCCACTAACTCCCTACTCACTCCCGCACCCTCCCTCCTGTCCAGACTCCACACCCCAAGTCCACTTCCCGGCAGTTCCCGCCCACACACTGAACTCCTCGTTTTTGGCCCCACTCCAGAGCGTGGAGGGGCCACAAAATCTACTGGCCTGGGCCCCCCTAGGCTCTGGTGTGTGAGGGGAATGTGGGGAGTGTCTTTCTGCTTCTCAGTCCGGTTTTTTGTGCAGCCACCCAACTGATTTCTTCTGTGGGTCAGCGGCCCCCTGACCCAGCAAAGGTTTCCCACTGTTGTTAGAGAGCAAGAGGTGCCAGGTTCTATCCCCTCTGCTGCCAGGAAACTCAGCAACTTCCCATCTGCTCCTGTGTCAATTTGAGGCTACAGCTTGGAGCCTCTGCAGCCTGCCCAGGTTAGGGAGTTTGGTCCCAGATGGGAGCCCCAGTGTCTCCCCTCCTGACTGTGTGCAGCAGGCTGGGTCAGGCCCGCCGGCCCCTCTCCTGCTGGCAAACCATTTCCCCAGAGCACTGGGTCTCTTACCAGCCCAGCATTGGTTTGGCGTGGGCTGAGCTGACGACGGGTTAAGTACGTGAAGTGGCCTGTGTTGCTGCCAGCCATGAGCTGGG